ACTCGAGTATAAACCGTATGGGTATGACAACACCATACTCAATATATGATCTCTGAGATATTAGATGGATGAGGGACATAGGTATATGATAACTGATGATAGATCGGTTTAAATGATTAAATTCCCTTTTATCGTCTGGGGACTACGGCGTAGTGATCTAGTACATCCGCAATCGATGAGTCGAGTGAATTATTATGGAGATAATAATTCACTGAACTAAAATGAGTACATGTATGACTTACTACCAGCTTGATATTTGGCCTAAAGGGTCACATACATATGGTAGGCATTGCGATGAGTAGAGGTTCAAATATGAGATATCCATTGGAACCCTTATCTTATTGGATATCCAAAAAGCCCCTGAATTATTGGATCCTATGGATGAGATCCAATAAGAGCTAATGAGAGATTATTAGATAGAGATCTACTAATCTAAGAGCTTGGATAGTTAGATAGAGATCCAATACCCAATAAGGCAAAATCCATTATGGTTAAGTTGATAGGGGATCTCTATAAATAGGAGGGAACCAAAGGTTCATAGATAACACAATTTATCTCACATGTGGCTTTTAAGATTCGCGGATTTTGTGCACAAATCTTTGTGGATCACCGCTAAAGAGGATGACGCTTGACTTCCTTCATCCTCTCCTACAGATCTGTAGGGATTTAGTAATATATGATCTCCCCAGGTAACACAATCTATATCACATGTGTCTTTTAAGTTTCGTGAATTTTATGCATCAATCTTCGAACCACAACGAACACATCAATGAGAAATTTGGGGATTTTGATTTTATATTCTTGCCTAGATTTCTCTACAGGGCCTGCTAGTCATAGGTACTTAGATGACTCACTATCAACTTGATATTGGGCTTGGAGGGTCACACATATGGTAGGTATTGCAACAAGTAGAGGTTTGGATATGAGATTTTCGTTGGAGCTCCTATCTTATTGAAAATCCAATAAGCCCCTGAATTATTGGATCCTATGGATGAGATCCAATAAGAGATAATATAAGATTACTGGGTATAGACCCACTAATCTAAGAGGCTTGGATAGTTGGATGGAGATCCAGTACCCAATATGGTAGGATCCATTAGGGTTAAGTTAATAAGGGGCCTCCATAAATATGAGGGAACCAAAGACCCATAAGCTGGTTCTTTTTGGCTGCCTCTATCTATTCTCCTCTCTCTCTCTCCTCCTCATACTGCAGCCCTATTTGGGGGGGAGGGGTGGACAGTAAGAAGGGGCAACCTCTTCTTTACTGCGTGGTGCACGCGAGGAACAGTTTTGGTCAGCGATTTGAGGAGAAATTCGCAACCTCTTCTATATGGATCACTGCTAGAGAGGAGGATAGTTGAGCTCCTTCATTCTTTCTCATAGATCTGTAGGTTTTCAAGGACATACGATCTCCCAAAGTAATTGTCTTACACATAGTTTTTTAGTTTTGTAGGTTTTTGTGCACCAACTTTTACGCGACGATGAAATCTTCTTTTCTTTAGAAATTTTGGGATTTTATTTTTCTGTTCTTCTACTATGCATGTGATGTCACCCCAAATTTCCCAACAAGGCCTTTTTGGTTGTCACATCTTATTCTCCTTCTAAGTTAGTAGCCCCTATTTGGGATGTGTGGAGATTTGGATAGCGATTCGAAGAGCGTCTTTGTAACTTATATCATGTGGATCACCACTATAAAGGAGGACAGTTAACCTCCTTCATCCTCTACCATAGATCTGTAGGATTTCAAGGGTATATGATCTCCCTAAGTAAAACGTATCTCTTATATATGCACGATTTTCAATTTTATGATTTTTTGCTCATCAATCTTCGCACGACAATGAACACCTTTTTTTTAAGAAATCCAAGAATTTTGTTTCTGTTATTCCGTTGCGCATGTGATGTCATCCCTAGATTTCCCTATAGAAAGTTGGGCAGGATAGGCTTGTCTTGAATCTCTTGGGTGAAAAAGGAATATTGCCGAGGTGACTTCCCCAAGTTCTCCTTTAGACTTGTGGAATTCTCTTTGGACCTCATCCAAGTGTCGATTCACCAACCGTAATTAGGCTCTTCTTTGGAGTCTGAGGATAGGGTGTCCATCTCGGGGAGGGTTGAGGTGGTGTGATAAGGTGGAGGGGTGCTGCAATCCACCATTAGGGGTTTGGGGTCCCTCGGCTATCCCCCGATCAACGAAGGGGCGTCTAGAGGCAATGGCAATTATTCGACCGAGACAACATTGAGGGGCATGGGAGCAAGTGTGGGTCAGGTCGTCAGTTGTGGCGGTAGGAAAGGGGCCACCTACTTGGCTAGCTGGGGTATGAGAGGTGTGATAGCCTACATCATCCCTATTATGGTATATACTTGGTGGGTGAGGTTGAGGAATGCCTTGACAAGGATGACTAGCTGCCTTGTGCAAGCCCCGGGGGATGAGAATTTGATATCTTTGAATAGGCGCCAATAGCACCCCAAAGTCTAGGCCGAGGTAGACCCGTCCATCTATGGGAGAGCGGGAAGTTGTCCTCCCTGCCTAAAGACCATGTGAGTGGGTGGAGCCTCCTCGATGCGTTCGATGAGATTATTTATCGATGGACATTCTTGCAATATCGGGCCCTCCTTCTAGCACCAAAAATATTATGCACTTTTATACCATGGCCTGGGGATGAGTATGGTTTGGTTCTGACCCGAAAGTGCAAGGTTGCCCATGAGGATTCTTAGGCAATGAGGCCAAAGGGACGAGGTCGGGTCGGAGGTTGGTTCTCGGCTTCTATTGCGTCTTCGTGGCCGACCCTAAGTGGAGCTTGATCGGCTTCATCCACGCTGTAATCTTGTGCAATAAGTCGATGTTAGGAGGGAGATTCTCGACTCGACCCCTCCGATGCCTAAGTTAGTAGGTGGTCTAAGTGGTGAAAAAGATTCGATCCCTTTCCTCAAGCTAGGGGTTGGTATCTATACTTGTGGCAATGGCTCGGTCATATGCAGGTCGTTAATGACCATCGATATTTCATTCGACATAGCCTTGCGAGTGGTCGGCTCGTATGCTTTTGACGGTGTGGATCAGTTCGTCTGGTCTCCCATCACACGATGTTAACTCGTACGGTTTGGGTTGGCTTGTCCGATCCCCTACCATGCGGCACCAACTCGTATGGTTCCGAGCGATGGGGAGTTGGTCAAGCATCGTCCGCCAAGTTAGTTGCACTTTCTCCGGGCACGTCCTGACACATGCTCCACGTTGGCTCTTTGGTGGCTGCCAACTATCAATGCATAGGTGGTGTCAAAATATTCCTTATCAAGTTTTAAATTGAAAATGAACAAGATTAAGATTGATTTATAAGGATTTGATGGATAACATATGGTCGAAGGAGGAGGACGTCAAGTGGGTGAGAAGAAAAAATCAAATGCTGGGGGTGGGAGGAGGTAGAAATGGTTCATGAGTTGATGAAAGGGATCCGATCCTAATCGACCTAACCCGAACCAAAACACCTTGACTGGATCAATCTAAACCACAGTTGGATCACAATCCAATATTATCAAAATTTTAAATAAAAAGATATCCTTAGCAAAAACTACGTATTGAGACATAATCTAATAAAAGCTCGTTTATTTTATTAGCCAATATTCAATCTATATACTTGTTTAATTTGCTGGGGAGACACTATTCAAACACCAATATGATTACCACAGTTGAGCAAAAGACAGGAATGCTTTCATGCCGACTGCATGAATGAATGACTATTGTGAGAGGTGCTGTGTCTACTGATATCAAACTCTGATTCAGAAAAAGTGTTGTTTTGGCTTTCTCCGTTTCCAAAGCACGGTATGTTACTGTGCCCTCGACTTCTTACGAATCTGTGCATGGCGGCGCAACGTGTAAACAGTAGCTTGACAGAAGGCAGACCAACCACAGGACAGTCAACGGGATGATCACTTCCACCTTCTTAGGAAATCAGCAAGAAGACAAGCAATCCCAACAAGGACGGCCACCCTTAACAAGATGCATCTTTGATCGAATCGGCGCCTTGGACTGTGCAAGAACACCACATTCCCTTGACGGGAATCACCTACAATCATCTCCCTTTGACCTGGTCCGCCCCCTGTTTCATTGGCAAGTTTCCCGAAGCTCATCCCGACATTGTCTCTTTCTTGTCGAGGAAATCGAGACGGATGGAGATCCGAAAGCTGGTGGGAACCAATCGGGAAGAGTGTGAGCGCGCCGAGCCAAACTTGATGACACCATCAGGATCCACTTGAGATCCCCGTGGGGAATGGAAATGGAGTTTGGGGTCTGCGCCAGGTGATGTGGGTTTGAGAGCAGAGAAGAGGAGCCATTCATGGTGATCCTTCTCCCAGGACCACATCAACCTGCAAGCATCTCACATGTGTGCTCACGCTTCCAAGCTGAGACCCGTCTTGGTTTCGTCTCAAGGAAAATGGTGCGTCTTTTTCTTCTTTTATGCTTATATTCTGTGACCCATGTTGGAATAGATCCTCCAAAAAGACTACCTTTGTTCCATCTGCTCTCTCTTTCCAACTTGTGCTCGATTCTGTAGTTGGCGGTACATACCATTTCCATGGATTCTTGCGTTACTAAGATTTCGGGTTGGCCTCATACCTTTTCCTTTCCTCACTGAGAATTTCTTGATGTGCTTGCAATAGTCATTCAGTGTTAATTGTATGTGATGGGGTTTAATTTCTGGAAGATTCATGTGATGCAAGTGTTTGGGGTATGATTGCAGTAGGTTTGTGTGATTGGTATTGAAGAAATCTCACTGATGGAAGCTGTTCCTCGACATGAAAGTTTGGTGGGGCGCAATTTCTCAGATGGTGCTGCAGATTTGGACCTGTTGGATCAGCTGCTCTCAAGAGATGGTTGGTTGGAATTTCCTGATTGCCCTGATGTCTTGCAAGCCGGTACTCCTTGCTCCATGAGCCCCTTGAGTTCTTTGAGCTTTTCGCCGCTTTTTGAGGTCAACAATAGCAGCTCTAACCCGGATCGGCTGGAAAGTTGTAGCCAAGATGACATAGGAAGGTCAGTTGTATCTGCTTGTCCACCAGGGGATGAAACCCTCGCTGAAAATTTTGATAGAACACAATCCCCCAATTTAAATTCCACTGGACAGTTAATATTCTCGATCCACTCTGGTGTTGTAAGAACAGCAGATCTGAGCTCGAAGCCAGGAACAAGGAGGTCGATTCAACCGAGTGACTCCAATTTTTATGTAAAAGAGAGATTCATGCAGGCGCTTTATCACATCAAGGACGCTCGGAGGGACAGCGAAGTTCTAGTTCAGTTATGGGTGCCTGTAAAGAGAGGAGACCAACTGATTCTTACAACCTATAGTCAACCTTTCTCTCTCAATCCAAACTGTGAGAAACTCATGAATTATAGGGAGGTCTCCACAAACTACCATTTCTCAGCCCAGGCGAACTCTGGCAAGGTGTTAGGCTTACCTGGCCGGGTGTTTCTAGGAAGATTGCCTGAATGGACACCAGATGTTCGGTTCTTTAGCAGCTACGAGTATCTGCGTGTGGATTATGCTCAGCGGCTTGATATTCGTGGCAGTATAGCAATTCCTGTTTTTGATCAGGGTAGTCGATCTTGCTTGGGTGTTGTGGAGGTTGTAATGACCACCCAAAAGTTAAATTACTCTGTTGAACTCGAGAAAATCTGCAATGCTCTCCAGGTTAGATTTTTTGCTTCTTTCTAGGTGACTATTAAGCTTCTGGATAGGAACTTTCCTTTGGGACTCTTGTTTTCAGATTGAGGAATTTATTCTGATGTGCTTTTTACTGGATTATTCTCCTTGATTTGAAATTTTTTGAAGGGTTGTAAGGTATTTATGGTCCATATCTTTTAAGTCTCCTTGAGATGTCACTGCTCGATATGACGAAATGGCAAGTTCAGAATATGGGCTAGCTACTTTTTTTGGAATTTTGCTAATGGACACTGGTATTTGCAGGCAGTTGATCTTAGGAGCTCTGCAGTTGCGAGTGTTCCTCGCTTTGAGGTGAGCCAGTAGACTTCACAAGCATTATTGTTGAAGCATCCAACTTACTACAGAACATGATGTTCTTTTTCAGGTAGGTAGTGGTTCATACCAAGCTGCTTTACCTGAGATCCTAGAGGTCCTAAAAGCTGTTTGCAGGATGCACATGTTACCATTAGCTCAAACTTGGATTCCATGCATTCAACAAGGTAAAAGAGGCATCCGCCACTCAGATGAAAACTACAGGCACTGTGTCTCCACATCTGATGCAGCTTATTATGTGAATGACCCTTCTATGATTGAATTTCATGAGGCCTGTTCTGAGCATCACTTGTTGAGAGGACAAGGTGCGGCAGGTAGAGCTTTCACCACCAATCAACCATGCTTTGTGTCGGATGTTACTGCTTCCAGTAAGACGGAGTATCCGCTTTCTCACCATGCCAAGATGTTTGGTCTGAGAGGTGCAGTTGCAATATGCATGCAAAGTATTCTGTCTGGAAATGTTGACTTTGTATTGGAGTTCTTTCTACCCACCAATTGCATACTGATTGAAGAACAGAAACAGATGCTTGATTCATTGTCAGGCACTATACAACAAGTTTGTCGAACTTTAAGTGTTGCCAAATCTAAGGAGCTAGCAGATGCGAATATGTTACAAAAGAATGAAATGATTCCACATATTTTGTTGGAGAAATCTTTTTCCGAGGCACAACCAGCTCAAAAATATGACCCTGTCACTTCACTCGATGCTCGTACAAAGAAATTGCATAGGAATTTACCACCTTGGTTCACAAGTACGATGAAAAACTCGGTGAATAAAAGGGGCCACACTTTCAAATTTAAGAAGTCTGAAGCTGAAGGATTTAGTATCACAACTGACAGAGGTTATACTGAGGAGGTATTGCCTGCAGCAGAGATATTCTTAAAGCTTGGGCATCATCGAAAAGGCTTGTCTAAAGATGTAACCGATATTGAGAATTCTTCTAATTTTAATAGCACCTGTTCTGAGGCTGCAAAAACAACAGCAAAAAGGCGCAGAAAATCTGAGAAAACTGTCAGTTTGGAAGTTCTTCGTACACACTTCGCTGGTAGCTTGAAAGATGCTGCAAAGAACATCGGTGGTGAGAATTATTATTTGTTAGAAAATTCAATTTGCATTATATTTTATTTCTTCTCCTCTTGCATTTTTCTTTTGATTTTCTCTTTTTGTTTTTGAAAGAAACTACATCCACCAAATGTGTGGTGATACCAACTTGTTCTTCATTTTCTTGTTGCAAAAAACAAAAAGGGTTGCATTCTTGTTAATACTCATGACAATATATTTATACTCAGACAGTTTGTCATCTCCATATACAAGGAACCTTTCACTGCTTTGAATTATCTTGGGTGGGATCATGTCCCACTACCAAATCGCTTCATGTGTCAAGGAGCTTTTTTTTTATTTTTATAAATGTCGTCATGTGTCCTATGTGAAGAAGTAGTTAGGTATCGCATTGTCCAATCTGAAAACACATCCACCAAAATTAACTAGATAGACTCTTAATTTAGTTGTAATTTTGGCCATCAACGGAGCTTCACCAGAAACCGTTTCTGCAGATATTTTGAGACTTTTATTACTTTTTATGTACTTTTCTAATTCTTGCTAAGAAAAATTAGACGTCGTATTTAGTTCAATTCACAACCTTAAATCACTGATGATGCTGTTGTCTATAAATCTTCATGTTCCAGTGTGCCCTACCACTCTAAAAAGAATATGCAGGCAGCATGGGATAACACGTTGGCCTTCGCGGATGATCAAAAAAGTCGATCACTCTTTACAGAAACTGCGAGTGGTTATTGACTCAGTTCATGGTGCTGACAAATCCATTCAACTCAGTTCCCTGTATAAAGATTTCACAACAGTATCTGTGTCAGATACAAATTCACCAGGAGACTTTGAGGTTTCCAAATCAAATCAAAATGATCATCCAAATGCTGACCATCAATACCTAGATGCTGAATTGAACCATCCTTATTTATCATCTTCTCACTCATCAACATCGCGCAGTCAAACTTCCACTTCAAATATATCATCTTCATCTGGGAAAAAGAAGTGTACTCAGCCTTGTGAACCCAGAATGATTCGGGAAGTTAACCTGGAGGAAAAAGTTGTTCATATTCCTCAGGGAGCAAATAGTCAGATTGGTTTGCATCTTTCAGCTCAAAGCACACAGCTATGTCCTGGTAGATTTGAAAGTCAAAAGTCACCTGGTGAGCATTGTTCTCCTCCAAGTTTGTCACTTTCAGATAATTATAAAGTCAGTTCTATTAGAGTAAAAGTTATGTATGGTGCAGAAAAAGTTAGGATCAGGTTACATCCCACTTGGGGCTTCAAAGACTTGAGACGAGAGATCTTAAAGAGGTTCAATATAGGCAATAAAAATTCAGTGAATCTCAGGTATATCGATGATGAGTTAGAATGGATTTTACTGACATGTGATGCGGATCTTCAGGAGTGCCTTTGTATCTACAGATCATCAGGTGCTCGGACAATAAAAATTACTTTACAGTCAATTGATAATCCACCAATTATAGTATCTTCACGCAGCACAGGGCTCAGTTTCTGATTTAGATCCCAATCTCAAGCAAAGTTTGTATTCAAGCTACGAAATTTTACAGGATAGAATGATATTTTCAGTGATCTATGGCAAAAAAAGAAAACTGGATTTTGGGCTGACTCAAGGCACATGCTAAAGCTCCACAGAGAACATTAAGAAAGCAGTTTAAAGATAGAAAGAATGCGAGATAGCATGATCATCCTCTTTGAGGCCACAGTTTGAAGGTGCTGGAATTGCTTAAAATTGGTAGAAGCACAAATCGAGGGACTTGAGTTTCTACTGAAGCTTGGAGGACTTGGAGATCAGTTTTTGGGTTGTGGTAGGAGTTTGAAGATGTTATTTTGATGTGGTGAGTAGCAATTACATTGAAATAATGTAGAGTGGTCATCTTAAGAGGCTCTGATTGATCTTGAACTGAATGAACTACCTGTAAGATAGTCACTTAATTAACAGGTTTTTAAAGGGGATTACACAAAAGCTGTAAATAGATATTGGTTTTCTTTTGTTTACTTTATGGTATAAAAGATGTTTGTATGTCCAATGATCAATTTGGATATGGAAATAGCTTATAATTTGAAGCAAACATGGTTGATGTCTAGATATAAATGGTTTCCTGCCTTCTAAATGTAGTGTCTTAATAGTTATGTTTTTTACTTTACAACCCTTTTGTGTGTGTTAAGATTTGCATGAGATATGATCTTAGTCAAAATTGTAACCTGTCTGCTTTATTTTACTCCTCACTGTGTATGAGTCAAAAAGTCAGCATCTTGCTTTCAAATAATCGTATTGACGAGAAATCCTGAATCCCTCGAGGATATTGTAAAAGATAATATTTAAGAAAAGACTCCCGACACTAATACTATTGAACTGTTTGAAAAGGTGGCTTATGACACTAATACAATCGTCCAAAGAGATGGTTCTTGACACCAATATAATCGAATCGATCAGTGTGAAGAGGTAATCTTTGACACTAATACGATTGAACTATCTAAAGAATCAATTCCAAACACTAACACGATCAATCAATTCCAAACACTAACATGATCCAATTTTTCGAAGATATGGCTCCTGACACTAATATGATCGAACTATCTTAAGAGGTGATTTCTGACACCAACATATAAAAAATACTTAAAGAGATAATTCCCGGTAACAATGTAACCAACTCAGCCATGGAGCATTATTGTTGGGAGTTGCCCTTACAACAATATAGTGGAATTGACTAAGAAGCTTTTCTCTACAATGATACAACCAAACTTGGTCATGAAGCATTCTGGACGATGACGCAACCATGACTCATCTCTCTATAATAATGTTATCGAATTCGACCATAAAGCATTCATTAACAATGACGTTACCAAACCCAACCATAATATGTCCCTCGATGATGATTCTATAATGATGCGACTAAATCCAATTGTAATGCGTCCCTTTTCAACAATACTGCCAAATGGATCCAAAAGCATCTTTCAATAGCGACATATATCGAATCCACCTAAAAGCATTTCCCAACAACAATACAGATTGAATTGGCCCATAAGCATCTCTAGATAATATTACAATCAAAACGAAGGCATTATTGCGATAGTAACATGGTCAAAATGGCCTAAGACACTATTATGATGATAGTATGGTTGAGACGACCCAAGGTGCTATTCTGACGATAGCATGGTCGAGATGGCTATTTTCATATTTTCAATGAAAATATGATTGAAATAACCCAAAGTGCTATTCTGATGGGGAGCATGACTGAAACAACCCAAAGTGCTATTTCAATGAAAATATGATTGAAATAACCCAAAGTGCTATTCTGATGGGGAGCATGACTGAAACAACCCAAAGTGCTATTTCAATGAAAATATGATTGAAATAACCCAAAGTGCTATTCTGATGGGGAGCACGACTGAAATAATCCAAAGTATTATTCCGATAATATTGTGGTTGAAATAGCCCAAGACATTATTCTGATGACAACACAATCAAATCAACCCAAAAGCACTATTCTGACAATAGCATGATCGAATCAATCCAAAGTACTATTTTGACAATCGCATGATCGAATCGACCTAAAGTGCTATCAAGGATAACATTATCGAATTGGCTCAAGACACTATCTTGATTACAATGCAGTCGTATCAACCCAAAGCGCTCTTCTAATAGTTAAGTGGTTAAATTGATAGTTTGAGAGAAGTTACGTAATGCCCCAACCCTACTCCATGCGTTGAGACATAACGAGGACAAATGATATGGGGATGATGACACTTGAAATATTATTGATACCTCACCACCACATGGCTAATATTTCATGAGGCCAACACCTCACCACAACATGATAATACCTCTCCACCTAGTGATCAACTCCTCATCACCATTTAGATGATGTGACAATCGTTTCAACCCCATAGAGTTAGTTACATAGGAAGTTGACTCGACCAATAGTTGCCCCACGTTTTTCAAGTTCGATGCTACATGATCCAACTATGACCAAAGGAAGCGTATAATCGTTTCATACATTTAATTACAACGTCGAATACGATGATCCTCAACCTCACTATAAAAAGGCCCCTCAATTATATTTTCTAAAATTTAAATTTTTTTAACACTTAAAATCATTACTCAACGAAATCCTCTAAATATCTTAGCGATGTTTTAAACATCGGAGGGCCTTGTCAAGTATGCCTTGATGTAGTTTTTTATAAGATTTCTTACCTAATCTACTCTTCTCTTGAAATCAAATTTGACCAACTTAAACTTAAATTAAGGTTGGATCCTAATCTTTAAATTCTGCTTTTAACACTTCGTGAATCATAATGTGATTTCCAAGATGAAATACAAGGGGGAGAAAACACCATAGCGCTTCAATAAGTTGAAGTTTTCCTTTTTGCATATGGACAAAATGCACTAACCTAACCTATGATACGAAATGAGGCTAATTGTCTCCGTTCAATTGCTTGACCCAAGTTCGAGATCGTACCTACTTAGCTCATGCTTTCATGGTTTAACCTCTACTTAGCCATGGAGGGACAATCAAAATCTTACCTCATCAATCAGCAACATTGTGTTCCCCATGCGATCCTCGTATGTAATCCAGAATGTGATTCTTGTATCAATTTTCTCCAACTGGTCAACTAAATAATGGGTTTTTTTGTTGGAAGAAATCTTCCGCAGCAGTCACATATATCGTTTGGAAGAGCAACTCTGTGGTTTGATCGTCGATAAGCATTCCTGTTGCCAATTATAATGACCACCACCAAAAGAATGAGACAAGAAGACATCATAGAGTGTAAGATTACTGTATTCTATATCTATACTTATCATGTTTACAAGCTTAGATTTGCAATGATCAGTCAAGTCGCCAAAATTGTGGTTGCTGATCACAGCGTACACACTTTGATGAGTTCTTCTATGAGCTGAGTACGTCGAGCAGAGCGACTCTGCTTCGGATCAGCTCCCTGAACAAGGATTCTAATCCGCTCTCCAGCCCTTCAACGCTAACCTCCAACCTCTGCAGTTGACTTTGCGCCTTGACTGCCCTCCCACCATCACCATCCTTGCAGGAAGCACGCCATGAGAAGATTTCTAGTCTTCCCACTCCACTTCCAGCCTCCTGCTCCTCATCGGATGCCACTTTCCTCTTGCTCAATGCCTTCGAAACAAAAGACCAACTGCTACGCTCTGACCTTCCCGTTTGCATCGACACGAAGGAGAACACCAGTCGCAGTAGAGAAATGGCGATCATCTCCGCTTCCATCAACCCCCAGATCGCCATCGGCGTGTCTTCGTCCTCCATGACCCGCTTCAATGATCTGAAGCGATCCTTCATCTCCTTGTCTGCCTTCCTCCCGAAGCGGACATAGTCATTCACCTTGTTCGCGATCACTGCGCCGTCTCTCCTTCTGAGAGCCGACCGAATCCTTCGGACGTGCTCCTTCATCGTGCTCAAGTCATCCTTCACTGCGCTGCACAGGTCCAGCAGTCTGATGGACGCAACCAGTTCTCCTTCCACGCGTCTCCGTTGCAGTGGATGGATGAGGGTTTGATGGTTGCTTCTCAGGCGAACGAGCCCCTCGATCGATTCGTACAGGCCTCCGAGTCCTCTCAAGCTGTCGCATATCATCTGCGGCGTGGAAGAGGATGAAGCCATCGAAGACCTCAGCCTGTGCAGCTCTTCTTCCACCCTGAGCGCAGCAGGGTGAAGCTCTGAGGGCAGGCTGATGGAGCGAGTGTGGCAACGCTGGCTTGGAGCCATCTCGCTCTGAGTTCTGCGAGTTGGACTTCATCCCTTCGGCTTTCTGTAGTTATAGGCCAACATTAACACTCATCATCACAAGAGGGAGGGAGACACGGAATCTTGTCTACCTGAACTCGACCCCACAATAGATTTGAGCTTCAAGCTTGAGCTCCGTGTACTGGTTTCCTCTGTGCAGGGCAGTGAATATTTCTGCTACTTTAATTCTCATGATTAAGTGGATGCCTAGTATCCAGTTGTAATGTTTCAGTGGCTAACAACAGGCAGCTTCTTGGTGGAAGGCATCAATGCAAATAAAGAGTCTAATCACAAGGTTACAGTCCCATAATGTAGCACTCAACAACTCCTAATATTAGTATTTTTGTGCAGCACGAGTGGGATCTGTCTACTTGTCTTCCCAGCACAAGATAGAGGCAGGCAATGGACATCTTTGACTTGATCTGTTGGCAACATCACCAAGAAAGAATAAGAAGAATGCATGCATGTCTTACAAGATTGAGAAGCTCAAATGGTGTGTCTCAAGATTGAGAGACACCAAGAATCCAGATTGCTTATGGCTGGCTCATCATGCAGTGGATGCAGCTCTGAGCTGCTAAGATGGTTGCTGCAGTTCCTGCACTGTCATGCTAATTTCTGGACGAGAATTATTGCAGTGGCAGTATCAAACATCTGTCACTTGTTGGAGCAACTCAAACATTCACATCGATCAGGTAAATCGGTACAGTATCACTTGGTAAATCGGATAAATCTGCACAGTGTCTCAGTGTATATTATTTGATGCCACTGAAAAATAATAAATTCAAATGAACATCTACCTCTGATTTCCCTGATATGTCTGTATAACCAACGACAGGCTTGGACGTTATATGCTTGATTTGCACCAAACAATCTACTTATTGAAACCGATTGGAAAAAACTCTCCTACTGTTTGTGTGAAGGATAAAGAAGCTCTGATCATAAAACTAATAATTGGATTCCATGAAGAATCCTCTATATATAAACATAACTCAAGATGAGAACACCTAGAGGGCCAGCTAAAAAGCTGCACACAGTGTCCAACACCCTGCATGAAAAGAGTAGCACAAGGGCAGTAATCTCCTGGTTAATAAATACCAAGCATGCTAAACTGTCTGTAACATGTCCTTTGCAATTAAGTTTGGTGTTTAATGCATCAAGGATACAGATAAGTGGAACCACATGGATTGGGGCAAGATGTGTACCTTCCATTAGAGCTCAAGTTGGGGTCTGTCTGAACAAAAGCCACAAAACTGTGACAAAATTGAATTATGATAGCAAACAAAGCACCCACCCCTAGCCTTCCAGCCTTATAATCATATCCCTGTTTATTCACCTGAAATGAACAATGCAAATCACATAAATGATAGCAATAATCTCATGTACATGATGACTGAAAATTTATATAACTGGCTTTTGGGATGTCAAATAGTATTTTAGGACAAAGGAACCTCAAAGAGAGAATGAAGATAAAGAAATGTGGTTAAACTGGTCAAAGATATTATCAGTGACAAACTACAAAGTAACCACCACAAATAGAACTTGCTGATAAATCCTTCCTGATAGATTCACCTGGATTTGCTAATAATCAGTCAGGTCCTTATTTTTCTTTATTTTCCAATAACCTTCAAGTAGGGTTTCCCAAATTTTTGATTCTAGAATCCAATAAGTGTTGAGCTTTAAGCACTATGAATTAATCAGTAAATGACATACAGTCATTAGTAGAAAATAACTATTTTAACAGATTCAACTAGCCCATGGCTACCTTTGTCATAAAACTGATAACCTATATCTAATATAGTAAATCTGGTCCTAAAATTCTTTTTTGTCAATCCATTCCATATAACAGATGTTAAATGGTTCCTTCCAAGTGAACTTAATATAACACAATCAATCATGTCTATTGTGGGCCCTTTGTATTATTCACGTTCACTTCTAGATTATATTTTGATGGTAAAAATCATGATAAAAGTTATATACAACAAACAGAGAGATTAAATTGGTAGAAATGACCATGATTCATATGGAGATTATCAAGCTTTTTGACAAGTCAAATAACCAAAAAAACAAGCCTGACATAAAAAGGCATGAGCCACCAAACTCAGCAAGAAACTTTCTCCCCCATTTTTTTTCTTCTAATTTTCTTGGCTGGAGGTAAATTGCAAAGTGCTCAAACAGAGGGGTGATGCAGAAAATGAGAATGAAAGTACATTCTATAGGCAAGCATTTAGTCCTTAAGGCATTGAAATGCACATCTCATTCAACCTTCAAGATCTGTTACCATGCAAATTATTCCAAATTATTGTCATCACTACTTAATCTACTTCTACCAGCAAAAAAGGCATCCCAGTTTGAGATTATTGGAAACCAGAAATGGGTGGTAAAGGAGACAGAGTCTCATTTTTATCCTAAAATTAACTTGAAGCGAGTGATGTGCCTCCTCAAATCCAGTATATTCAGGATACAACTAGTTAAGTTCTTAGTTAGCTAACAACCTTATTTGCAGAATGGAATCAGCCCTAATCTCATTAATGCTACAGATGGTCGTAACAAAATAAAGCATAAAAAGAGTGATGTTAAGATAAATGATGATCTTAAAGAACTATCATCTGTGGACATAAAATATACAAAAAATGGCAACCAAAACAATCTCTGCTCCTTGGATCTGCAAATCCATCATCTTATTTGGATTATCATACCATGTTGACTATGCTATATTATTTTTCAACTTACCAACAAAGAAATAATTCAAAGTCTCCTGTCCATATCTTAGCTTCTTCTGGAGTAGGTTTGGGCATCTGAGCTACGAAGTGTGACTTTTAAATAATTAAAGAAGCACCTAGGGGCCTAAAGATCAAATCTATACCTCTGTATACATGTGCTAAATTCTCCAAAAGTGAAAAGGTGAACGGACAATAAAACAAATTGCGTCACAATGGCTAGTGCATCATGTTACCACCAATGATTAAACCCATGGAATAACCTAAGGTTGGCACATAACATCAGAATAGCTAGTGCATCATGTTACGCCCCCATGATTAAGCCACCTATGGAATAACCTAATGTAAACACTATTTAGTGGTACTATAATTATAAGGCTTGAAGGCAATGGAAGTTGATTTTCCACTCACTTTCCAGTTTACCATCCATTTAGATGATTATAAAGAAAATGTCAGATTAGATATGGTCATCCTACTTCAGTAAATTGTAACATCTTCTTAAAATGTAAAAGCAAACTTAGAATACTAAATCATCAGCATATCTCATCTCACATATAAACGACAATGAAGACATAATAGGAGAAAATGACAATATAATAGATCAGAACTACCTAATGGGTGAGTGCAACTCACACTTTTGCCTTATTCAGCCACTTGAGTGAGTTTTCCAATGCCATGTATGCTGTTACATCTGTTAAACTCTTGCTATCAATTGCATAATCAAACACCTCATACGCCTCTGCAATCTTGTTCGCACGACACAGTGCCCTCACAAACGTTGCATAGGTTGCATTCTCCAGCTTCATAGCCTTAGCAATCATCTCCTGATACAGCTGCATCCCCTTGTCCAAACACTTAGCCTTGCAAAGCCCCATAAGCAACGTGTTGTAGGTGCACTCATTCGGGTTGCACCCCTTCTCCTCCATCTCCTCCAGAAGCTTGAGCGCCCCCAGGGCATCTCCTTTCCTGCACATCCCGCCCATGAGCGAGGTGTACGTGACCACGTCTGGGAAATGCCCCATGTCTGCCATCACATTCAAGAACTTCTTTGCCTGTGTGAGCATCCCAGCCTTGGAAAGCCCATACACGAGGGTGTTATAGGTCACTAGGTCAGGCTCGATGCCCTCGTCCTTCATCCTGTTGTAGACCTCCATCACCTCCCCGTACTGATCCACCATGCAGTAGCCCTTCATGATGACGTTGTACACGTAACAGTCCGGTTTGAAGCCAGCGTCGGCGAGCATGCCGAGGAGCCGCGTTGCCTCGCGGAGGTTCCGGCCGCGGCAGACAGCGTCGATGAGGTTGGTATAGGTGACGACGTCGGGCTGAAGTCCAACGCCGCGGAGTTCTTTGATGAGTGCGTAGACGGTGGAGATGGGGCGGAAGCGGGCGAAGCGGCGGACGAGGAAGTTGTAGGTGAACCGGTCGGCGGCGGAGGCAAGGCGGTCGCGGAGGAGAACGCAGGCATCATCGAGGCGGTCGGCGGAGCAGAGGGCACGGACGGCGAGGTCAGCGGAGGCAGCGTCCGGGGGCGATCCATTGTCGGACATGAGGTCGAGGACGGAGGCCGGGTCGGGGGCGGAGTGGTGGAGGCAGGAGTGGCCGAGAAGGACGTGGAAGGCGGCGCGGCCAGGGGCGAGGGAGGGGGAGATGTGGCGGTGGAAGGAGAGGGCGTCGGCGGGGGAGGCGCCGGCGTTGCAGAAGGACTGGAGGAGGGAGGTGGGGTCGAGTGAGGAAGGGGAGGAGGCAGCGAGGGCGTCGAAGGTGGAGATGGCGTCGGAAAGGAGGGGGGACCGGAAGACATGCTGCTGTGGGGGCGGGGGAGAGGGGTTGAGGGTTCCCCTGGGGGTTTTGGAGGGCTTCTTGGGTTTCTTGAGGGGAGACCTGAAGAAGACGGAACGTTCGGGCGGGGATGGAGACTGGGAAAGAGGAGTAGAAGGTGACGGAGGGGAAGGGGAAGGGGGAGGTTTGTGGAAGGGGAGGGGTAATTTGGCAGAGCGCAGGGAAGGAGGCAGCTTCCCCATGATTCGGATCTCGAGCTCTCTCGCTGCTTGTTTGTTGCGAGTAGGGTTTTGGCACTCCACCCGCGGCAGTGTTGTACATTTTTTATGAGATTAATTGGGCCAAGTCGGCCCAAATTAATGCGCTTTGGTGAGTCAAAGCCCGAGTCGTCAACTAATGGGCTTTCATTACATGGCTCAGATAAGCGAAGGATACAGTTGCCTCTTTTTATTTTTCTTTTTTTTTTAGCACTTGAGTAATCTCGAGAATTAGATAAAATTACTAACTATAGTACTATCTAAAATTTAAAAATTAGAATGATAATACCATCAGAGTCAAAAAATATGATAGTATCAATTGTTATGATCGTAGTATTGCGTAGTGTTAGTAATAGTACTACTAAGTGTCAGCGGTAATATCACTCGTACCTCAAAATTTTAAAGATTTAAATTTTTTATTCTATTCTTGAATCCTTTTGAGATTAATAAATTTTTTACTTTATTTAGTTGATGAAGTATATATTCTTAAGCTATTGAAGTATTGTAAATTTTTATTTTAAGCATAATTTAAGCCTCCTTTTGAGTTTGGTTGACATTTTAAGTTGTAGGAGGTGAGAGATCCCTTGTAAAAAGAGTGTGAAGGTTATCTCCTAAGTCTCAAAATAGAAAAAATTATAATAAAGATAGTTGATCTTCGCCTATTAGAAAAAAAAATTAATGGTAAAAGTTGATAGTCTCGAGGGAAGAAGAATCAAGAGTAAACATAGGTCGAAAAGATCGAAACATAATAAATTGGTTTACCTATGTTTACTTACTCTTTATCTATAATTTTATTTTATTATTTTTACTCATTATTTTAACATGATCAATTAATTTTTTAAAATATATCAATTTTTTTTATCAAGTTTTAAAATTGATTAAAAATATTATTGTACTAATTCAACCCCTACCCTCCATCCTCTTAGTGCCATTAAAATCTTTAATAATTAATATCAAAGCTAGATTTTTTCGGTTGGATTACTACCCAAAAGATATCTAATTATTTTTTTAGATAATCAATATATCATTCTATAATTCTTTCTACTATGTTCAATGGGATGGATATACTTATAGAAATACTAGAATGAGAATTCTTTTTGTCTCTATGGATTTTGATTCATGAAATGTTATCAAAATTGATTTTCAAAAATCTTTTAAACCGATAGATGAATAAAATGATTTTAAAAAAATATTTTTTAAATACTAAAGTTATGAATATTTTATTTTATACTTTAAATAAAAATGAGTTTAATCAAATTTTTATTTATAACACTATACATGATATATGATACACACTTTAAGTCACAAAGTACTAAAAGAATCTAAAATTAATCTTCTTATTCATAGTTATGAGTTATTTAAAATAAAACTAAATAAATCTATTAATAGCATATATACCTGTTTTTATGAATATTATCAATGGATTAAAAATTCTTGGTAAAAACTATACTAATCTTGAAAGATTTGAAAGTCTCTTTCCAAAAAAAGTTAGGATCGGTAACGATAATGGTAATCCAAAAAGCTCTTCCTCTTGAAAAACTCGTAGGATATTTAACAACCTATAAAATAACATATAAAGTATATGATCATGAAGTAAAGTCTTCCAAAAAAAAAAGAATTTTGCTCTCGAAAGTATATATGGTTATTTCTCACTAAAAAATCTAAAGTATTCATCAGTTTTCTTAAATTCAAACATATTGTTGGAAAGTTCTTTGAACATTTTATTATTTCATTTTACTTTGATAATGATAGTGAATTTTAAAAACTTTATAACTAACTTTTTGAAACCGATTAAATCTCTCATTTTTCTCACCCCTCCACTTACTTCTAAACATAATTAAACTACAAAACTTCGTCAATAACACATCATCTAAACTAGTCATACTCTTTACTCAAAGACTCCTTAACTCTTTAATCTTAGTCACATATATTTATCACGTCAACCTATCTTATTAATGATATTTTCACTCTAGTTCTCAACATGATTTCACCATTTGAAAGATTATTTGGATCCACTCCTAATTATAATAAATAATAAATTTTTGAGTGTCTATATTATCCATTATCAAAACCTTACACACATAACAAATTGAAAGTCCGATCAAAATCATATATTTTTCTTAAATATTTTACTAATTAAAGTGTCTTTAAATATATTAATCCATCAACCAAAAGAACTTTTTATTTCTCACCATGTTAGTTTTGTGGAATTTATTTTTTCTTATAATTCACTTGACTCTCTTTTGCCTAATCTAACTTTAAATAACTTTATTAATTATGTCCCCCAAAGTCATCACTCACCTCATATTATCATTCCAATTCAGGTACACATCACCTCACCCATCAATCTAAGCACTTATCCACTCAAAACCCATAAGTCCTTCCTCAATGGTGGTGCATATGTACAATCCGTTACCTCATCCATGGGTTGCTTCATGAGATTATCACACATTAGGAGAATTAATAGCAAGATTTAGTTTTAATATTCTATATTTTAAATTCTTCTTATCTAACACACCCTAGAGATGTTATTAATCATACGCCAATTTATCTGATGATTACTAGATCAAAAAATTAAGTCTTTAAACCAATAAATATTTTTTTTTTCTATAAAACAATCCTAAAATTTTATTTTTGAGCCTTTCACTATCAACAAAGCTTTAAAAAGTAATAAATAATGAGCATATATGAAGAATATAATGCTTCGTTACGAAATGATACACTAGACTTGGTCTCATCTCATCTAAGTCACTATCTTATAGGGTGCAAATGAGTTTTTCAAAATCCTGATTGGTCGATTAATAAGTATATAATAAGATTTGTTATAAAAGGATTTCGTCAATGTCAAAACCTTGAGTACCACAACACTTTTAGCTCAATTATGAAGCTAATAATAATTTATATTATTTTGTGTCTTATCTTATATAATAATTGAGGATTTTGACAATTGGATATAACTATATTTTAGAGAATGGTAGGCCCCTCGTGCTTGGTATTTTAGTTGGATTTCATAATTTTTAATATAATAATTTATTATTTATTTATTCTATAATCATATTTTTACTAGTTTATATAGATGAATTAATTATTACTAGTAATAAATTAGTAATAATTAATCAATTTATTTAACAACTTGGAAATAAATTATTTCACTCGTCATATGAAATTAATAAGTTATCTTAGTTTATGCACAAGTCTATTTTTAACTATTGAGACAACTATTAGATGGTTTCTCTAGTACTTAAAAGTCTATTTATCATGATTTTTTCCTTTTTAAAGAACTCTTTTCTATTACTTCGTAGATTTTCAAATTGGTAAGGATGACAAAACAACTATATATCATATTTCTTAGTCATAATCTAATCATTTGAAGTTTTAAGAAACAATAATATGTTGTAATATCTTTTACAAAGGTTGAATATCAAGTAATTACTTCTACAATATAATAGGAAATATGGGGCAAAAAATAAATCTAGTTGGTTTCAGACTTCGTACAACCCAACGTCGTCATTCCTTTTGGTTCGCAACTTGAACTTGAGTTTTACTTTCTTTTTTTTTTTCACTTTGCTTTGGCTTTTATTTCATTTTTTTTACATAGAGAAGTAGGCCTTTTTGAGACTGCCATTTAAAAGGGGTTACCAATTTTTATGGTTGTATAGGGGGTGTTGAGGACAAAGAATCTAGCACTAATATGATTGGTGTTAAGAAAAAGACTCTTGCAGGAAGGCTGGCTAGAGATTTCTTATAAAAATATCAGCTTTTGTCGGTTCATAAGAATAGAAATTTTAATTTCAATTATCACTATATAAACTATTTATCAATCCTCCATGTATATATTATTATAGGATAATATATCTATATGGGAATCTTACATTTTACTCTCGAATGAAACATATAGCTATTGATTTTCATTTTATTCGTGACAAAGTTCAAAATGATGAACTACGTGTCTTTCATGTCTTATCTTTTGATCAACTTACAAATGTTTATACTAAGCTTTTGTCTCACCAACAATTTCTTTTATTTCGATCTAAGATTGGTGTGGAAGCACTATTTTACAACAACATATAGGAAAGATATTATTAAGAAAAGTAAATTATGATAAGATCATCATGATTATTTTAATATTTTAATAATATATTATTATAATTCTAAATCATAAAAATTATGATACTAAATTATCATAATTATATCAAATAATAAAGATTATGATCTTGATCTCTTTTATTATGAAATAATTTAGATTAATAGTTTAGATTTATTATTAATTAAAAATTATATAATTATCATATTCTATAATATTTATATATGTGTATAAATTTATAATCACTGTTAATAAAAATTCAACCTACTCATTTATTTTCTTTGTGCATGATTCACGGCACGAAGCTTCAGTTCCAGATCATCACCACCATTCATCTTTACCGCCACGACCCTTGGGAGATCATCACCACCTTTCATCTCACGGCAATTACTGCATGCGTTCGTCATCTGCGTTGGTGGTGTGGGGGGAACGGCTACGTGATTCTTGTGTAATCCATGCGCAGGGTTGGCCAAGATGGGGGAGAGGGAGTGGCACTTCTACGTGCCGAGAGACCGGAAGCAAGGCGGCGGGCGGCCGAGTCGGACGACGGAACGGGGGTTGTGGAAGGTCACGGGATGCGACAGGCCGGTGCGCAGCGCCACCGATCCGAAGCGGCTCATCGGCCTCAAGAAGACGCTGGTGTACTGCCAGGGCAGGGCGCCTCGGGGCACCATGGCCGACCGGGTCATGAACGAGTACCGACTCGCCCGAGAGCTCATCCCCACTGAAGGTGTCTGCATGTGACGACACACACTTCGAGTAGTAGTAGCAGTAAGATCAGCTGGTTCTCGACTCGGCTTGTGTGCAGGAGGTTATCGTGTTGTGCAAGATATGCCGGAAAGCGACGTCGATGAAGGAGCTGGAGCAGCGTGCGGCGGCCATGGAGGAGAAGACGTCGGCGTCGCAGGTTTCTGGCTCGGTGGCGGTCTCCTCGCCGGGGTGGTCAGATCAGGAGAGCTTCCAGATGACATGCACGTACGTGATGGATGTTCTTTGCGACCACACACAGGAGGAGGAAGAGGTGGGTGTTCCGGCGGCCGAGTCTCCCCGAGCTGGAGGTTTCAAAGCTCAACAGCGGGTTGGAGTGGTTGCAGGATCCATTCTTGACTCAGCTGAGGATCCCATGGATGATGGATCCCTGGTCGCTCTACTGAACTGCTGAGCTTCGAAGGCGTTGACTACCGGACGCAGGTCATTCCACGAAGCAGTAATTCCGGTTTCAGGTCAAGAAATGTTGACCTCCGCACACATAATTGCAACAAAGTCAAGGGAGACTATTGAGTGAAGGCGAGGAGGAACAGATAGAATGATCACATGTACAGTTTATATGTATTTTATGTTACGTTTAATCATGAGAAATAGGTCATTCTGATAGAGAAGTCTAAATCCCATCTTATAATACGAGAGTCAGCAGCATATTATTGACTGTTCCAAATAGCAGAAAACAACGCAACAAATAGTCATATCCATAGAAGTTAATGGTCAAACATTTCATGTCAACATAACGAAACCAGAAGTCTGCGACATTTATTTATGATAAAGCAACGTATGAATAATATATTCATATAATCTTGTAGGACTTTGACCAAGTAAAAGGCGGAATGCTATTATGCATCAACTTTTAATTCTTAGATTGGGCATTTGACATGAATACAGATGTTTATGTACAGAACCAATATTTCTCCTATCAGAATTCATAATGGTAGGGCTACACATAATAGATGTGTGTGTACAAAGATTTGTACAACAAAGAGATACATGCACAAATGCTCTTGAAGCACTAAAAAGGAATAGCAAAACATCCATGAGATTACAAGTCACAAGAAGCTTAAAACTGTGTTGTTTTTCTTCTAGTGAAGCTGGCAAATCTTCATCAGACTGCCTTTGCCACACCAACCGAAATAAGCAACTCTACATTCTTCCGTAAGCAACTATTCAAATACTGCAAGCTGCCGTGTGTACCTGTACATGATTCCTTTTCCTCCCTGCAGTCTTCGAAACCCTGTTTCAGATGCGACTCAATTGGTGCAGAAAATAGATGCTCTTGACATACTATGTATAAATGCCTTTTTATACAGCATCACTAATGAACGAATCAAATTATGGACCAAGAATTGCACATACTGATCCAGATTTCGGTATATTATGAAGCTCCTCCCCTCGTACTGCTGCTCGATGCCAACCATAACGAGAATGCCTGTAGCTCAGAGGTGGAAACCAGAGTGGCAGGGGCATTCGTGACAGCAAATGTTCGTGTAGATTATACTTTCTCCAAGCTCACATAGTGCAGCAGTAGCGGTGGAAACAAATGTTTCCGATAACAAGAACGAATATGCAGCTGGGAAAAGGAATGAAGACGGAGACCATTGACTTCACTGACAGCGAACTATTTTATCCACATTTCTGTTGTGCATTATTGACAAAATGAAATGCCAACAATTACACTGAAACCAATCACTATATATCCTCTTGACGACTCAGTCCAGTCATAACTTCTGCAACAACAGCAAAGCGGAGACCATTAGCGCAAAGCTTCTTAGATCTTGTTAGGCACACAAGTGACAGAAGGATATATTCAATTGATATTGATCTTATATACGACAGCAAATTGTTGTTCCAAGTTCACTCCAGACTTTCTGGAAATGCTTTTAAGAGAACACTCAGAAGCTCACTTCAGGTTCCCCGGTTCCCCAGAACTGTTTTTTAATTATGATTGGCATCTAACTCCTTCCACAGGGGACACCTGCAGAGATGCTCCTGTAGCTTAGACTTGATGATGCTGAGGGTAAACAGCCACCCATTTCCCAAGCATCAGGTGTAATACGCCAGAGATTCACTATGATCTCCTTATATATTACTGGCCTACTCTTCTCAAATGAATGGTTGAATCTCAACAAAGTCAAGTGTTGTCCGATGCTCAATTTAGATCCTCTATAATCCTATGAAACAATTTCATTCTCTCTGGTACACCGCTGTTTCTCTTCTTCGGAACGTTTGTGGAGTACCTCATAAGTTTTCATGGAATCAGCAGTAAAATTTTCCATAGCTTCAAAGACCTGCTTTAAACTTAACTGCAGGCTATTCACGGTGGAACCCTGCTGCACTACATGTTCAGATATTGATACTCCATTCTCACTGGAAATTAACAATAATTTCCTTTTCTGCTTGAGCATTTGTTGTTCCTCCTTTTCCATTGACCTTAGCTTGCTATCCATATCTCTATTGGCCGACAACGTTTGCTGCTGCTCAACTTTCTGCTGTTGCCAGATGTTGAAAACATTGTCAGCAAAAGCATGCACGGCATCCACAACATCCCTTTTGGATATCCTATCCACACTTTGAGACCAGTAATTGCAAATGACAAATACAGGAGGTGCACCTAATCTCCCTGGAGAAAACGGAACAACTCCATCATCTGTAACTTCAGGCACATAATGCATACCTTTCACAAGCCAGCCATTCAAGGATTTGACGTAGCTCCTTTGAACAGTGACCCAAACAGAGAAATTAGTAATCCAATCCACCATCTTGAACTCTAACTGCTTTACTGCATCCATACGAGGATCACCATGCTTCACTCCAGAAACAATAGAATCTAGATCTTTAGCCTCAGATATGGCTTGACACTGAATACGATGGCATTCCCACATAACTTTCCACATTCCCATAAATCTGCAAGGTTATGTTGATCCACATAAGACATCATAATTTACAACACAAATATAAACACAAGAAGCTTAGTTTAAACTACAACATTCTAAGGCACTCATTTAAAGGGGGAAAAGATTAGCACCACATGTTATACTTAAACTTATAGCAAATCAATCAAGACAAACTTGAACTCCGTAGAAGTACTAAGCAATAAGCAAATGTAATAAGGCAAATGCAAGTCATCTCACCCGACTGCTTCTACAGTCCACCCTAAGTTGTAATCCTTAGTATATTTGGTAGCTCAGAAGGTTCTAACTTGTGAAAACTTGTAATATCAATGTGGTTTCAATCAAAATAACATACGTGGCTGTAGGCATCATGGAGTCAAATGTCTCATAGACCTAGCGAGAAAATGGTAAGAAATATCATGGAGATAAGTTGTCTACTTTCAAGAGGAGTACATGTGCAGCCACAGATAATGCAACAAAATTAAAACAAAGAAATATCATGAACAATCTCATACCCATCAATAAGTTCACGAACTTGTGGCCATAATTCTTCATCCCTCAGCTGACTGATTTTACTAGAAATTGTGCCCACAACCTGAATGGCTATTCTTATCTTTGTAGATAGCTTCATGTTAGAAGTTTCCACCGCCTCAACTTTTTCAGCCTCTGCACCCCTCTCGCTCAAGTGTCTCAGGCGCTCACGATTTTGTTCATATAGTGTCCTCATCTTTTCCTCAGCCTATATAAGTAGAAGATACACACATGTGCAAGGAACGATTATTTCACAATCAGTCAGAAGTTCTCTAATTGAGGTAAGACTCAAAGATCCAGAACATGATTCAAACACTAGTGAAACCTTTGTAATTGCTTATTTCAATGTGACAAAAAGAGGCTGTGCAAAGGAGATGCTTGATTAATAAGCTAATTCATTTGTTTTGTTCAAATCACATTATACATGTATGAGTGACAGAATGAACAAGGAAGAATGCATATACATTTACGTATGTATTGTCTTTAGAAAATAAGTGGATTGAAGCTGGCTGAGCCTTCCTAATAAATCCTCGATATCAAAGCACACACCAACAAAATTTAAATGTCCTATATTAGGCCACAAACCAAATAATATTAGTGATCCTAAATGAAAAAATTGTCCTGTAAAGTTGAGATAAGAAGACAAAGTGTACGATGTGAAACATGATGACTTCAACAACCCAACATGGATTTGGATCAAGAATATGAACGTTCAGAGGGATTTCATGCTCAGACTTGATGGAAGCCAAGTTCTTGAGAAAGCAAACAAAAGAAGAAGGTTTTCCCCCAAGAGCTGTCAGATCATTAAACTGCTTCAGACAAATATTAGGACAAAACTTTACTTTAGAAAGGAATTTTCAAAGAAACAAGTCCTCTGATTATTCTACTCTTTGTGCTACTTTCTCTTTTACGAGTAAACTACTGGCTCAGCATCAAATTTTTTGTTCAAATCAGTAGCTGCCCTATACCTACTTATTTGATTTCCTTGTGGCCACCTCCTCTGTAAAACCAACACTCATACCAAAACAAAATCAAGATGAGATAACTATAAACCTAGAAACATGGTTGCTATACGAACCATGACTTCCTCAAGAAGCTTTCTTTCCCAATTGTATAGCTTCTGCAAAGTTGATGAAAGATTACCACAGCCCATCGCCTTATCCTCCTCAAATACTAAAAGATCTTCATTGTCATAGGTCGCTAGAAGAGGCAACCCACATATCATCCTGGCAGAAACTGCATAGAGAAAAAAAGACATGTGTTGGATAAAAGAGAAATAATCAGATGTTGTTACAAATGTCCTTAGAAATTCAGAAAAGAAATTTCCGAGTAGTTTCTCACCTTTATAAGGAGAATTCTTCTGGTGATATAGAACCTTTCCCACTTCAAGCATTTTAGACACCTGATTGGCCGACTCAGACGCCCTATCGAACTGGGTCTTTATCTCCTGCACAACCTCGAAAACATCTTGATAACTCCGAGACACTGGAAAGCCCACTGCACCGCGTCGTTCTGCTGGTTGAGTCACCACGCTCTTCTCCACCACAAGAACCTCATGCTCGGAGCTTCTCCCTGCCTCAATTGACCTCGATTGTCGATGGGGATCCTCCCCAACACTGCCGACAACACCCTCCTTCGACCCATTAAGAGCCTTCACTGTATCCTCCCCAATCACAGCAGGCGATGTAGAAGCTAAAAACTTTGGGTCGCCATAGGCTTCCTTGACGACCTCATGGTCTTCATCTTCCAGATCAGGGATCCCTTCCTCCTCTCTTAACTCCCTCGAGCTTCGGCTTGGGGTATATGGAGGATAATAATTATCCCACGAGTCGAACGGATTTAGGAAGTCCCATGTCGAAGCCTGAGGCGCAGGCGGCGGTGGAGGCTCCCGAGAAGTAGAACTCGCACCATCTGCGACGGCTGGTGGTCGAATGTTTGGAGGCCGTGAAGAGGAACCAAGGAATCCTCTCTG